GGCAAGTACAAGTGCCGCTTCAGCGAAATTGGAAAGTTCCAAGCTAGCGGACTTGATAGCACAGATGAAGTCGATGCGCGAGGAGCTCGAGCACTATCGGGTGATAAAGGAGGAGGGTTTTTGATCTGGTCCATGCTTCGTGCCGCACGCATCGGGCCGCGAGTATCATTTTGTAACAAATATAACGTATTGTCTACTGCGATGGTGTACGAATTGGACCAGGGGTCCCAACATTTTCACATTCTAGTATGACTCAAGGGGAAAAGATGGCACAAGGATATAATCGCAATGGTGGACAGTGAAGCCACCATGAAGTTTATCAACAAGCAATTCATTGTAGAAAATAAGGTGCAGACGCGGAAGTTGAAGGAACCAATTCCGCTATATAATATTGACGGCACCCTGAATAAGGACGGAAGCATCTCGGAGGTAGCAGTGCTACAGATGCATATAGGAGAGCACGTCGAGAAGACGGTGTTCACGGTCACGGACATCGGTCCAGAAGATGTGATCGTCGGGTTGGATTGGCTGCATGAGCACAACCCTGAGATCGATTGGGAGAAGGGCTCCCTCAAATTATCACGATGCCCTGAAACGTGCAGTACCAGGAAGACTGGCCAAATGGAGCAAGCTGCGATTGCACATGCCCATGGCGCGTAGGCATTTGCCAAAGTTCAAACAGTCGGTCATAGGTGCCTGCCGGAGTAAGGTACTCCTGGACTTCGAACCCGAAGAAGATCCAGCGGAAGTAGAGTGGGACGAGACCAATTTGATCGAAGCCTGGGAGCAAGGCATCACGCTTCCCGGCGCCCCTCAGCTGTTTGTCACAGCTGGGCATACGTACTCCCAGCTGTTCGCTGAGGAGGAGATTAGAAAGAAGGTCGTTAAAACCGCCGAGGAGTTGGTACCTAAACAGTACCACGAGTTTCTGAATGTCTTCTCCAAGGAAGCATCAGAACGGCTACCTGAAAGGAAGCCTTACGATCATGCGATTGAACTCGTGCCCGGCTACTCGACGTTCTATTCGAAGGTGTATCCCTTGTCGAACAACGAACAAGAGGAACTGGACAAGTTCCTAAAGGAGCAGTTGGTGAAAGGCTATATACAGGAATCGAAGTTGCCCATTTCGTCCCCCTTCTTCTTCATCAAAAAGAAGGAAGGGACGCTTTGACCCGTACAGGACTACTGTCGATTAAACGCAATCATGGTCAAAAATCGTTACCCCTTGCCGTTGATCGCTGAAATGGTGGATAAGCTCCATGGCGCTACGCTCTTTACGAAGTTCGATGTCCGATAAGGATACAACAACGTCCGGATCAAAGCCGGTGATGAATGGAAGGCGGCTTTTGTGACTAACCGAGGGTTGTACGAGCCCTTGGTGATGTTCTTCGGCCTCACCAATTCCCCCGCGACCTTCCAGGCGATGATGAACGAGATCTTCCACGATCTCATTGTCGGTGGCAAGATCCTCGTATACCTTGATGACATACTCATCTTCTCTACCAACAAGGAGGAGCATGAAAAAGTCACACACGAGGTTCTTCGTCGCCTTCAGGACAATGATTTGTTCCTGAAGCCTGAAAAGTGCAAATGGGATGTTCCCAAGGTCGACTACGTTGGCTATGTGTTCAGTGGCGATGAGGTGGCGATGGACCCCGTGAAGCTAAAAGAAATCAATGAGTGGCCGGTACCCCGAAACAAAAAAATGTTCAGAAGTTCCAGGGGTTCTCCAACTTTTACCGCCGCTTCATTAAGGACTTCGCTAAGATCTTGCAACCACTCGACCGACTC